CGAGATTTAAGCTTTAACACAAGGGGATTAAAATCACGTACCTTCAGACGAACCGGAGAGAGAGGAACTCCCAAGTAGCGTATAGGGAAAACCCCTGGCCGAAAAGATAAAGTATCACGTATAAGAGTTTGGACCTCCATTGCTACATTCCCGAAAAACACCTCACTTTTTTCTAAACATGGCGACAAACCCGATCGTTCTTCAAACAAGAGAAGGCCGTTTTATGACTTCCACAGAAATAATGTCCCCCTTTGAGAAAATAAACAAATCATCAGCAAAGCATAGATGAGTCAACTTAATATCCGCACAACCTTGATGATATGAAAAATTTGCCTCCTCCTTAATACACTTCGAAAGAAGCATCGAGAGACCCTCCATAACAACAGTAAACAGGTAAGGGGAGAGAGGATCTCCTTGACCTCCGGCTGTCCACTAACACAAACAAAATAAGTGGGAGAAGTGATCAGTGTCTTTATCCAGTTAATCATGACTGGATGAAACCCCATTCCGTTCAGCATCTCCAAAAGAAATTGCCAATCAACTGTGTCATAGGCCTTGCGAATATCAATCTTAAAAGCACATTTTGGTTCCCCTTCAGAACGCTGATAACCAGCGACCAATTCATGTGCCATTAAGATATTATCAGTTATTTGGCGCCCAGGGATGAAAGCAGATTGAGCCTTGCTAACAAGAACATCCAGCGATCCTTTCATCCTATCAGCAATAACCTTACTAATACACTTCAACAACACATTGCAACACGCAATTGGCCAATAATCAGTAACAAAAGACGCATTAGGAACCTTTGGCACAAGACAAAGAAGAGTATGGTTCAGTTCATACTCCAAAGTTCCAGAATAGAAAAAATTGTGTATCCCAGTGAGAACATCCCTACCAACCACATTCCAAGCTGCTTTAAAGAATTTAGAAGAATAYCCATCARGTCCTGGGGCCKTATCATTCCCAATGGCAAACAAAGCATCTTTTATCTCCATATCCGAAATAGGACGGATTAAGTGTAGAGAATCCGATAATGATAAAGAATGAGCAAACACACAATCCCCCATAGAGGGAGGGACCAAGACATTAGAGGTACCTAGAATACCTTGAAAATGGGAAAGGAATGYTGTGGCTACCTCCTGATGATCATAAACTGTACCAGAAGAATCCCTGATAGTAGCAATATGGCTCCGATTGCGCTTTTCTTTCATAGCATGAAAAAAGAATTTAGAGTTACCATCCCCTTCATTGAGCCAATATATCTTTGCTTTTTGACGAGCCATTTCCACTTGATCATTTCTAGCTTTTTGATACGCTAGCAAGAGGTGAGCAATGTCCTCCTTTAGCAAATCATTAAAAGGGTCTAGATCACAAGCCAATTGGGTAACATCAAGCTCCGTCTTTAACTGAACTACCCTTTTATCCAAACAACCATACGAATTCCGGAGACGCCGACAAACCACCTTCAGAGCTTGCAATTTCCGAAGTACCCTCTTCATATAAGATCCTCTCTGCGGTTTC